CATAGCATTTATTATAAGGCCTTTTTTCTTTTCTTTTTTTTTTTTTTAAGTTTAATTTTCAAAGCAATGAAAGTAATCACAGAATTGAAACAGTACAGTGATTCTGAAGAGTTTTTATATGTCAAAATCCAGAACAATTTCATGTTTGCACTGTTGTTTCTTTGTTCTGTTCACCTGAATGCTTAATAATACTATACATTTGTTCCTTTAATAAACACTAAGGTAATAGATTGTAGAAAACTAAAAGCTTATAGAAAGTGTCTCCAGGTATATTTACATAAATAGTGCAGTCTCATAGGAAAGGTCAAAAGCCCATGGGAGTGGAAAGGATTAATCTATGTGTGAGACTTACGCCTTCTTGGTCAAATTAACTTTGTGAAAGGAGAAATGTGAAGTTTGCAGCTCCTTTTTTTTTTTTTTTTTTTTCTTTTTTTCCTCTTCCTTTTTAAAGAGAGAAGACATGCAGAAAAAAATAAGAGCAACTTCTGTAAAAGCTCCTTTGAAATCTAGCAACTTTATGTATAATGTGACAGCTTTGTGGCTTTTAAGTGCCGTGGGCCTGCCTTGCGTGTGAGTGATTGCCTCCCCCCAATTCCCACCCTGTGCAATTCATTTTCCGTTCTTCTGCCTCGGCTCTCTGACTCTTGAACTCCTTGTAACCCCAGAAAAGGCTTTTGGATACCTCCTGCTGAATTTATGAACTTTTCAGGGAAGTGTTTCATATATGATGAGGGCAGGTCTGGGCTGAAAAGTATAATATTGCAAAATGATGGGCAGGATCAAGATTGTCTCAGCTGTGCCTAAATAAAACTGCTGAGAGGAAAGACTGGCATTAAAGTGTGGAGTTGGCTGCTGTGTTTTTCCCCTCCCGGAGCAATGCGCAAGGCTGTCGGCATTAAATATACTTTTGTTCTTCATCTCTCTTAAATAGAGAAACAACCTCTAAGGAAACAAGTCTAATGAAAAAAAGATCACGGAATTGCTGAATGGTTGAGGTTGGCAGAGACCTCTGGGTCCATCTGGTCCAACCCCCCAGCAGAGCCACACAGAGCTGGGTGCTCAGGACCATGTCCAGCTGGCTTTTGAAGATCTCCAAGGAGGAGATTCTACGTAATCTCTGGGCAACTTGTGCCAGTGCTCTGCTGCCTGCACAGTGCTCAGTTCTTCAGTTGTATCTCTGACATTTATTGTGGGAGGTTGTGTTTTCACAGGTCTGGAGCGTTGGAAAAATACCCTGCCTTTCACAACTTACAAAACAGTTCATACTCATCAGAAATAGGATAACGATTGTGAATTTGTCAGCTCTTATTTGACAGAGGAGCTCAGACTGCAGTGTTAATTAAAACACAAATGGGCAGGGGATAGCAACACCCATTTGGGATAGTGATTCTGTAAAACAGTTCAGTATTACTTATAGCCAAATGAAATGTGGAGAGGTTTAAAACAGATGGTGGCAGGAAGAGCTGATAGTGTCCACAGAAGTCACCTGCTCGGAATCACTGTCCATAACCCACTGAAAAGAGTGTGGAAGACCATCAAGTTAGATCTGGTGCAGAAATTTAGAATGTTTTAGTAATCATCATGAGAAAGGGTCTGTCTTCTCTAGAAATTTGCATGGAAATAGCCTTGATTTAATTTGCTTTGTCTGAGAAGGATGGTGTCTGTCTTGCTATCCACGCAAATCAGCCTCTGGCTTCTATAGGCAATCTGGAAGCAGCAGAGTTACTGTGTGCTGTTGTCTCTGATCAATGTGGATAAATCAGACTTTGAAACATGTCTAGCTTCAAAATTTCATTTGTCTCCTTTTTTATTCATACTGTGTACACACATTCCTAAAGCTATCTCTCTCTGCTTTACTTCTTTGTGACTGTTGAATTTTTGTAGGATTAGAAATGTCCAGTTAATGGCTTTTTTCAGTTTATTTTTGTCGGAGAAATGGAAATATTATGCCTTGTAATGCAGCCTATTGCTTCCAAAACTGGATTGTTCGCAAGTTGCCTTTTCCATTCCCATTTAACAACTATGTAATACCTTCCCATAGAATGAACTAAGGCCTGGCAGCTAAAAAATATCAGAAAAAAAATATGTTGTTTAGGCCAAATATAGAAAATACTGGTGTTGGTACACGTGCAGTGTTTCTCTTCTGCTTGGGATTTTCTTAGACATCTTTTACAAGCAGTGTCTGGAATGCATAACTTTTTTTTTCTTTCCATGATTAGGTAGTGTATCCATCCATGTCAAGTCTGGAAACACATTTCAGTCCTGTGGTACTGCCAGCTGAACTCTCAGGAAACCCCCAAATTCCCTTGTTCAGAGCTCACTGCAAGTTTCTGTCTTGTTCTCTTCCATAGGCTGGTCTACTAAGGGAGATGTCCTGGCACAACTGTGCTGGCAACATGTCTGGTAGCATCTGGTTTGCTGTATCTCCCTGTACTGTTGCTGCTGTGGGATAGACTGATTCTTAACCTGAAACAATCATTATTCTGAGTAAAAATCCATTTTACAGAATACAGTAGCTGCTTTGGGAGTTGGGGTGGAATAGCTATACTAGAAACCTTATTCTATCTCAAGTGTAGAAATGTTATTGTTCTGCAACAGAAGGGCTGGAAACATCCCCCATGTAAGCAGGTTTTTTTATGTTAACTCCACTGAGTTCCTTGGTACCTTTTAATAGCTCCCCTGTTGTTAGAACAGATACTTTTCCAAGTGAAAAGCCAACTTTATTATTTATCTCTGCCTGGCTTGGCTAAATTTGCTTATAATATTTATTCTCTTCAAATGGGTGTGGTTCTTAGAACAGCAGGCTTATAACAGCCTTGAAACTCACTTCACAGCCCCTAATCTAACACTTGCTGATCTATAAATGACAATTCTAGCACTGTGTGAAAGTACTGTTAAATACTTATTTCTATCATCTAGCACACCAACATGCAACAAGGTGCAAAGAAGCACTACTGCAAAGTTTTGTATTCACTGCAATATGGCACTTTCAATATTTAATATGCTGTACTGACTTTATAAATTGCACTTTGTGGTACTGCCAAGCAAGAAGAAAAGACAGAATTGAGTTTTTCTTGTGAGAGATGCTAAGTCTGTCTAAGTTGCAGGAAAAAAAATAGACCTTAAGACCTAGATGCATAGTAAAGAATTTGGATGTGAGTTTGCCTTGAGTTTTCCTAGGAGAATCCATTTGCTATTGAGACAGCATATCTGTGGTGACATTACATGATTTTATATATTATACATTTACACAACAGGCATGAGCAGCCTCTCTATTATATATTGGGACACTCCATGGACAAGATAGAGCCAGCTTTCAACAGGAAAAGGGAAAAGTAAAAAAAAAAAAAAGAAAAAAAAAAGGAGGAAAGGGAAAAAAAAACAAATCACCAGGTCAGACCAAGTCACTGTACTGACCTGGTGGAGGTTGTGTTAGCTCCCTCAAGAGCTGACACAGGCAGTATTCATAGGGGATCACTCCTGTCCCAGCTGCAGACATGTGACAGCAGTCCCCTCTAAACAGTGAGTAGAGGGTGGTTAGAGAGGCTTTTGAACTGCAGGCCTGTAAGGCTTGGCAGCCATCTTTGCTGTCCCCAATGGTCTGAGGAGGGTTAGGATTCACTGACTGGCTCTCAGCATCCAGCTCTACTCTGAGCTTGTGATTTGCTGCAGGCAGCCCTATGCAGAGGTGGGCAAGGAGCAGGTCTGTGGCAAAAAGGTCCCCTGAAGGGTGCAGCATCTGCAGCAGCTGTATGAGGAGAGTGGCTCGTGCTGAGGAGCCTGTGGCAGGTGCTGCTGAGCTTCTGCTTCTCTTCCCACATGTCTGAAAGCCATTGAGGAACCAGGCGGTTCTTCTCCTGTGCCAGAACCAGGTTTTGGGCAGATTGCCTACAGGATGCTCTGATTTCCAGGAGGCCACAAAGGGACAGGCTTTCAAAGGCTTTCATAATCTCAAATTGTGAAGGAGAACTGAGGAGAGAGAGAGTATGAGAAGGGCCTAGCTGTGTCACTGTCATCACGTGGGCACACCAGGCTCAGCCCCACCATGCGTTGGAGCACCTAACCCATGGGATGCAGGATGGGGGCTCAGCTCCCTCTGAAATCTTGCACTTCTGTGCTCTGAAAACCCATCTGAGCTACAATGTGGGCACTTACAAAGCACCAGCTGCCTTTCCCTACACCCGAAGACACGTAGTGCCTTCCACTGCAGATGTGTCCTTCCCAACACTGCTGGACACTGCAAAGCAATTCACTCCTCCTCTGAGCTGCAAGTGGGCCCACAAAATCAGAATTTCTGTCATCGTGCTTGGATGTGTCTAAAACTCTGGAATCTTACCACTCTCTTTATTTATTACCCTGAAAGTAATGAATTCCAGGGATTAATTTTTAATCCCTTTTAATTTTCTGTTTATTAACTTTTTTCCCTCATCTTTTATTTTTAGAGTAAATTGGAGCTGTTTAAGATTCACTAAAGATGTGAAGGGGGAGAAGACAGGAAATAGATCCATGCCTGTAATTCTAGTATTAAATACTGTTTTAAAACTAAGTACACGAGATCAGTTATTTATGAGGTATATTAAAAAAAAAAAAAAAAAGAAAAAAAAAGCATCTTCCCTCAGTGCTCTGCTTTAGGCCATGTCCCTGTTTTGGGACCCAGGAGGGCTTTCAGCTCCTGGAATTGGATATGTCTGATGGCTACCCGTTTGGGTTTTTTCCATCTAGCCTCTCCTAGATGACTTGGTATAAAGAACAGCCATAGGACAGGTTTGACAAACCAGCAGAAACAGCAAATGGTACACAAGCTGTAGAGGAAATTGTTCTGGCTTGAGACTGTGACATCTCCCCCCGCTCCCACCGCTGGACAAAAATTACTTAGCTTGGCAAAGCAGATAAGCACACCCACTGAGAGACTTCTGATTAAAATGTCACCTTCTGGTGAAGTCTTTAACAACGTTGGCTGAGTAGTTTATTAAAAGAAAAAGAAAAAAAAAAAACCACCAAAGTTATATACCCTGCTTTTCAGTCCACTAGAATGACAATTGATTTTTGCTTATTTGTGCATTCAGGGTTTGTATCTGAAGGGGGAAGAAAAAAAATGCAAAAAAAGCATAAGAAATTACTTCCTCTGGTAGAGTGCCAGCCTTTTCCATCTGTAAAGCATTTTCTGAGTGACTTATCTAATTCTTGCAACATCCTGATGAGGTAGGCATTATTTCCCTACTTTACAGCAAAACTGGGGAGAGAGTCAGTGAGAAGGAACCCTGGGCTGCCACCAGGGGAACTCAGGACATAGAAGTTCTCCTCCCTCCTTTGCAGTTTCTTCTTTTGACTCAACGGTCGGTGATGACCTTGGAGCTACAACAGCCCTCCTACACTTTGGAACAGGCAGAAGTAGAAAAGCCTGAGTCCTGCCTCCCCAGCACAGTGGCCTTTAACACTGACGTGCATGTGGAAGCCATCGCAAATACAAAGCACAGTTACTTTCTATTCCTTCCTCCAGGTCATGGTCTAATATGGAGTCTAGGTTCCTAGAAGCCATCTAAAAACAAGGTACTGGGGCTACTGACCGCACACACATGCATGCACTCACATCTCTCCAGCAATGCTAGGTCAGAAGAATATATACATAGCAGTCAATGAACTATATATATGTGTGTTAATACAATTCAGTGCATTGGGGGCAATGGCAAGTTCTGGAAAAACACTTAGATTTAAATGACCATTAGGCCTCTCTAACTTCCTCATGAGTAAAATGTGTTGGATGTTTTTTCTCAGCTGACTCTACTTTGTATAATAAACCTTCATTCCATCACCACTACTTTTGACTATAATACATAGGTTAAACTAGGGTACCTCATTACATTGGGATGTGCAATACACAATCAACAGAGCAGTTGTCTGAGCTGAATAATCTGAATACAAGTAAAAAGAGCAAGTGAGCTTAAACAGTAATATACTCCAATTTACAATATAAGCAGAACAAGTAAAAATATTGCTCCCCATCTGATCTTTTTTTTTCCCCTCCACCACTGCTGTGCCTGTAAGGTTGGCTTGATAAACTTGGATGCCCTAAAAAATAAGAACTTTGCCTCTTGGAAGCTCATAAAATGATACTAGAAAAAGTTTTCTGACAGCTGATCCACACTGCAGTCATTAGACAACTGGAACCGTTCGAACAGAGAACCCTTTCACAGAGCTGTGGAGAAATAGAAAGAAATAGCCACTTCACGTATCTCAATGCTGTTTCTGAAAATGAAGGAGGGAAAAAAAAGGCAACATATTAAGAGTCTTTGTCACTGTCCATTGAGCCATACATATCTGCCAGCTTTTTAAACCGCGGCCCCCAGTCACTGAGGTAATCATAGTCCTGGTCTCCATCTGTGGTCACCGACTCCAAGGAGCTGAGGGACTCTGCCACAGAACCATTACCTTCGTAAGCGTAGGTCGCTAACGAGTCATACGGGGGGGCTGCTGGGTCTGTATCATTCTCCTTTAACCTTTGGTTAATGAAATCTCTGACATCCGTGTTATCTCGGGCTGTTGCAGTCCGCCGTGGCATAAAAAGCGTTTCTGGCACAATGTCTCTGCGTAATTTATTATCATCTATGGCTTCGGGGTTCCTCAGCGTGCCGATATCAAATGCCTGGGTGTCTTCCTCTCCACCACCTTCATCATTATAACTGACAATGTTGTCTCTGATGTCTTCTTTGGAAATAATCAAAGGCTCTTTTTTCCTTTGCCGTCTCAGTGCTGCAAACAACACCACTGTAACTGGAAACATAAACAGGGGAGAGAGGAAGAGAAACGTTAATCCCCCAGCTCCATTAAAACCCAGATGAAGTGCTGAGCTAGGGCTTAAGTTCTAAGCTTGAAAAGATGTTTTGCAAAACTGCAAATGTGCATGTCAAGTTTTTAGACTGTGCTTCTTCTGCTTGTGAGCACTGTGAGAGATGTTGTGGCATGAGTTTGCAGCAGACAAAGGAGATGTCAAGCTAGTAAGAAGCTGAGCAGTGCCTTCTTGTCAGCAGGCCTATTTTTACCCAGAATTATATAGCAACTCTGTTGCTTGGAGAACAGAAGTAGTTCCATGAGAGCTGGGAAGGGGGAAAGACCTGCACCAAAACTCATTATATATGTGTTATATACCTTGAACATCTGGGATGAGATGAAACTTATGCCAAGGACAAAACTAGCGTCCACTGGGCTTAACAAAAGTTTAGCAAAGGTGTACTTCAAGTCCTTCCTTCTCTGGAATAATTTAAGATATGGCATGGATTCTCAACTCACTCCAAGTCCAAGTTTATTAACTTTCCTGGCATGCTTTTACAATGGATACCGTGTTTTAAAGTGTATAGCTTTGCCTTATAAAGTGTATAACTTAAAGACTGTGAAATATGAGATATTGCCGTATGGCAATGGCTTTATTAATCTGCCAAAGGATTATGTTTCTCAAAAGGTATTTTATACTTTTCATTCTAAGGTGGATGTATATATATATATAATCTATTCAGAAGTCAGGAATTCTTTCAAAGGCCCTGGTCCAAACCTAAATAATTTTACACAATAACAATCACTGGAGAAGTATGCACAGAGGGTAGGAGGTGATATGTTAAACATTTTATTTCTTTTAGAAGTTGATTTCATATTTCTTAGCCAGATTCTACTTTGAGATGGTAAATCACCAAATATTTACAAATGAACAGCAGTAAGGAGCAATGTATTATTGCTTGGTAGTTTGAAGTCCACAGTGCCCAATATTTCAGTTCTGCTGTGCAAACTTGGAGAAAAAAAGACAGATCTTGCGGTCTTTCAGAGTTCTTTCAGAGCAAAGCAAAACAAATCAGAAAATGCCTAAGCTCACTGATATGAGACTATAAGGTAGATCCACATTCATCATTCATGTCAGCTGTATTTCTAAAACTGTATTTGTAAAATGGTGTGTGAGTCAAAGCACAGTAACAGACTTCTCTTTTTTTCAGTCCCTTCCTTGATTGTAACCCTGTTAAGAGCAATACCAAGGACTCAGAACATTTCCAAAACAAAATTTTAGTCCATTGAAATTTGGTGTCTCTTGACAGACAATAATCTGCTTTTTGTTGCCCTTGTTTGTTTGTGGTTTTTAGTTGTTGTTTGTTTATTTGTTTTTAACGATTGGCTTCCATGGAGAATGGCTTAGAGCTAGATGCTATCTGTAGATGTGCTGAAGCATTACTTTTTCTCTCTTTTTGACTGTAGAGAGATTCCAGTACAATAGTTTAAAGCAGGAAAATATGCTAATTCTTATTGTATATTTACCATAGGAATAGTGTGAGTAAGAAAGAACATTTGTTAATAGAAATCAAAAAGAAATAAGTAAGGTGGAAAAACTGAAGGAGGGAGAATGGTTCAGACAGCAAAAACTTTGGGTTCATATCCCAGTGATGATTTATTTCTGGTGTCACTTAAAGACCCTAGTTTGAGTGATGCTTATTTGTTCAGCTGTGTTATAACGGAGAACTCTTGTCCTTATGAGCATTAAGCTGTGATACTATAAAAGAGGGCTAGGAAAAGGTCTATCTTAGAGAACAGAGATAGCTGGAGTAAATTTTGGAGAACTTGAAAAATAGAGTCAATTCTGAATGTTCTTCTATTATAGGGCTGTCAGAATTATCTGAGAAAGCATAGGATTGATAGTTTTTACATGGAAGAGTTTCCAAAGTATTTCATTTACAACAAAAAATGTGTTGTACAGAATATTCTTCTTATTTTGCACTGAACTTGTAGGCAAAAAAAAAACAAAAAACAAAAAACAACAACAACAAAGAGAAAACAACTCAACATTAGATGTTATACATTAAAGTACATCACCCTTATATGCATGTCAGTTTTTAGGAATATCCGTGGCCTTCTGATAAGCCACTAGACCTGCTCAGTCTGAAAATAAACCTAGCACTTTACAGGCACTTTTTGTTGCTGCTAAACTTTAAGCTGTGGCTCAGGTCTGCCCAGAGTATTGTTTTTCACTCAGTAGTGATTGCACATGCAAACCTTGCAACCAGCCTGAAAATAGAAAATTATATAGCTGAGTTAATTGAAAATCTGCTTATGGTGCATGGTGGCGTGAGCAGTAATTGACCTAAAGTGCTGCTTAGCACACAGAATCAATTATTTTCGATTGACATAAAACAGGAAATCGTTTAATGTCAGATTGATATTAATGAGCACGGTTGTATTAACTAGTGCAAGACTATCTGCAGCATTAGATTGATTTCTTTTTCTGGAAAGGAACTTGATACAAAGTGAGCTCAACCCTTAAAGGCCATGATATCATGTTTTGAAAAATAAATTTAATGGCAAATTAAGGTTGAGATTGTTTTTCTAGGAATTTTTTTTTTCTGAAGAGATGATAGCGCTTATCTGGGCAAGCCATGATTACATTGTTGAAGTTTGAGTGTCACTATCTGGTCTTTGATTCATCATTGGAAGGAGAAATCATTTGTCAACTGTAATGCTCACAGTGATGAGCATATGGTGATGAGTATGTCTGAGGAAGATACAAGCATAGTAAAAACAAGTGGAATCCCTAGGGAATATCTTCTCCCCTTCTTGACTCTAGTGCTATGACATTGGTCTGATTCCCTTCTTTTCTGGTCAGATGCTAATCGTGACTAATAAAGTCGATTTTGTGTGTTGTACAATTCTCCACAGACTAATAGATTATATCTAATGGCCGATGGACACATCTCAATTTTACTGAACAAGAGGAGTGGAATCTGCATGAGAGGGTTGTGGGAGATGTTGCAAACTTGCCTTATTTTTCAACTAATAAACAAAAAGATGACCACCTGTGAATGCTGTAGCCAGAGATCTGCACGTCCTTAAGATGTTAGAATGCTTTAGTAGCCACCCCATTTCAGCATCCTTTTCCAGTGGAACAGAAGCCCCAAGTGTGACTTTTTTGCCCCTAGGTTAGACATGGGAACATAACTGTTTAAAACTAAGTTATCTGAACCCCTTCTGAGATCGACAGGAAGAGATAGATTCACTCTGCAGAGTGTGGATAGTCTAATCGACCTCAAATACTAGTAAGGCGATTGGATGGATGGCTTTCTGGAGGTGCCCGTTTCTTTCCATTGAGCAAAGGGTGTAGCCCTGCTGTCTCATCTTGCTTGGACGTCTCTAGCTTTTAGACAGCTGAGATTAGGTAGGATGTATTCCGTACACCATATCGCCAGCATCCCTCACAGGAGGAAATACAATAATATAAATGTCAGATAAGACATGGATGCTTCTGCTTTGTTCTTTTTCTAGCCTTGGTATAACAACTTGCAGCAGTAGAAAATAAGCCACTGACATCTATGATACCGACTGCTTTGATCTGAAAGTTTTAACCCCTTGCACCATTTGTTTTGAGGTAAGCCTTTTGGATTTCTTAACTGTTCTGAAAGTATTAAGGAGAGAAACTTTCCATGTGGTTTGGTGGGGTTTTTGTTGTTGTTGTTGTTGTTTGTGTGTGTGTTTGAAATGCTGAAAACCAATTCAAGCACGTAAAGAACAGAATACCTCTGAGGCACTTACCAAGTAATATAATGATACAGAGAAGAATGGCAATAAGAGCCCCAGTGCTAAGACCAGTAGGATGAATCAAGGCTTCAGCGTTACAGGACAGCATCTTTCCTCGATGGTCGCAAGCGCATACCCGAATAGTCACCGTTTCAGTGCTGCTCTGGATAGGGTAGTCATTGTCTGATATTACCACTGGCAAAAAGTAGGTACTCATTTCATGCCGGTTATATCTGGTTTTTCGGGTGAAAATCCCCGCTGTGTTGTCTGCAATCATAAAGCACACATTTTATCTTCACCTGAGGACTGAAAGCAAGAGTGAGATCAATAAGAAAATTCCTTCTAGAAATTCACCTCGGTTGTCCTGGAGTGTAAAGTTTGAGCTGCTGGCTGCCTCTGGAGCTATGGAGAATGAAAACTGGTGTCCACTGTAAGAGTCATCTTTATCAACAGCACTCAACGTTTGTATCAGCTGAAACAATGAAATAATACAATTATCTTCAGTGTCAGTGAACCTTATGCTTATGTATGATTTTACTGTGGTTTTTTTTCTTTCTTTCTTTCCCTGCTTTAACGTAGCTGATGCTGCTATCATATGCATAACAAAAGCGATGCATGTGCTACTGATGCTGCTTCGGATCACCATGCTATTGTTTCCCATACCATTAGCCAATAACAAAATGAATTTGAAAGTTGGCAGGAGAATCACATAGACTTTGAGAGCAGGTTTGGGTTGACGCCACTCCAGCTGGGTAGAAAGCTTTGCATGTGACAGGCAGCAGAAATGAAAGATGAGACAGTCGAGTCTGGCTACATATTCATCTAACCAAATCCCATGTAACTAGAATTGTTTGGCTGACTCTTCCAAATTATGTGCTACTTTGAACCATTTAGTAATAGATCTGGTAGAGTGAGAGTTATCTGGCAGAAAATAATTATCTCAGAGACAGGACTGTAATAGTTTTTGAAGGAGACAGTGAAGGTGCCTGAATATAGCAGAAAATCACAGAGGGAAAATGAATCAGAGATAACAAGGCACAGTATAGAAAACAAGTGTAAAACATAGTATCATATTAGCTACAAGAATACTAAGGGTAATCAGATGCTGTGCAGCCACTGTTTAGTTCAATCTTGCCAAACTGACACTCTGATGCAGTGCAAGGTATATCTCTTGATGAGGTGGTGCAAGAGAAGTAGCAAACTCAATTCATTTTGAATACTTTTTTAGTACAAGCACACAACACACCTGTTCTGCCTTTGCATTTTCACAGACAAAGGTCTCATAAAACATGGCAAACTCTGGAGCGTTGTCATTTACATCCAAAACCTTAATGAACACTGGGACACGGCTGCTTTGTTTTGGGTTGTCTGAAATGATAAAACCAGAAAAAAAACAGATTTTATTTAGCCCAGCTACTGACCCAGTATAGAAGAAAAGGACAGATTTAGGGGCTCAGTGCCTTCATTCCTTTCTCATTCATTATTTTCTGTTAATTCCTGGGAAATACATTAGGAGATAAATTCACAAAACTGTGCTGTATTATCATACTCTGATTCTGTGTAAACATTACAGTTAATATTGGGTAGGAGTTCAAGGTTTACCTTTGCCTTTGGACATTCTGAACATGATTGCAAATGTATGTACAATATCTATAAAAACACAATGCCAGAATTAAATGAAATCTATTTATTAGCCTGCTTGATTGTAACAGTGTTCTCAGAACGTATTCACTTCCTTAACTCTGAAACAGGAAGACTGAATATTCATGCAGATGGAGTTGCCGGCTTTTTTCTCTCCCCCTATAAGAGGCAATATTCCCTCCCCTGCAAATCTCGTGACAGAGTTCCTTAAGCTACCATGATTACCATTACTATACATAAATAATAACCACTGCTGTGATCACAGACATTTTCTAATCTTCTGTGGATTGATTTGATTTGGCTAATATTCTAGAGTTGATTTTAAAACATATCAGCTGAAGAACACCAGCACTATATAAAATCTGCAGATTTCTGTAAGCTTTTTTTTTTTTTTTTTTTTTTTCTTTAAGGACTTGGTAGGATCAAGAGATTGGATTTGACAATTTGAAAAGGATATTACTGAGCATAAAATACTGATAAAAACATTGTTATCCTCATAGACAAAAATTTAAAAAATTATTGGAAATGTAGCACATTGTGCAGACCATTTCCTTTCCTATTGGATTACAAAAGAGACAGATCTTCATCAAAAAGATACTCAAAGTGGGAAAGAAAGGCAATGTGCAGCAACCTTGCCTGAGAGGCATGAAGGAAGAAACAGGCAAGACTCTGAGTCAAAAGGACGCATCATAATTACCATCAGCTCCTAAGTTGTATAAGACCCCTGAGCAAATTTGTCATCACTAATCAAGAGTAAACCAAGAGACGTTTCCAGACTTGATCAGTGCCCCATGTCCTCCATATGATGCAAAAATGATCCAGGACAGCTCACCTAGGCATATCCACTGTAGTACTTGGGAGTGTGTGGGAGTGTGAGAATGAAATCTATCACGGAATGAGTGGGACTGAAATGAAATTTATTTAAAATAAATCCCCACCTCCTCCCATTCATGAGGACTCACACTGTGTTTTTCTACATTAATTTCCAACCCATATAAATGTAGTTTATTAATACATTTTAATCTATGTTCCAAGTAAAAAAAAACAAAAACAAAACAAAACAGGGGAATAAAATACAGATCTATGAGTTTGCAAGCTTCTACAGGCATTCATTATAGTAGTCTGTTGAGTTAAGCTTTAATAAAAGCCCTATTACTGTATTTATCAAACTTTCATAAATTTGAAAACGCGTTCTCCAAAATTGGCACCGTATATTCGTATTACAGAGCTCAGTCATTTGGACAAAATACTGCACTTTAAAGCTCCACAGTCCCATTGAAGTTAATATGATTCCATTAGGCATAAAACACTTCCTAATATAAACCACTGGGCTGAATTCATTCAAAGTATAAAATATCTATGTACAATATAGACTAGGCTGAATTTTATGCTAAAATACATCAATACAAATGTTGAATTTTTATAATAGGCAGAAATCAAATTACTCATTTGAATTTGCGGGGCTACTTGCAAGACTATTTATGAGCGTAGCTTTCTAAAAAATGTATTCAAATATATTGCCAATTTTTTTTTTCCTCTCCAAAATTACAATTGTTTTCTTTCCTGCTTTTTTGAGCTATTAACTACATATTTTCATTTTACTTCAAGGTACTTAAGATCTTCACAATTTAAAATGAGAGTATAATAAATAGAATCTATATAAAAAACCAATATATTCTATGGATGGGGGCCTTTTTTTCTGATTTTATGGAAATATGAGTTGAAATACGTTTATACATCATAAAAACCCTTTTTGTCTTCTTTCAAATTATTTTTGCAAATGAATTGGAATAGTTGGGTTTGTTTGTTTGTTTCTTTTGCATTATCCTTTAATTACTACTGAGCTCCACCTCTAAAGAAAAAGCTCCACCATATAAAACAGACCTATCTGCTTAAAATCCATCTCTATAGTAGTATGTTTTATGTTTACCTATCAACTGCTAAACATTTTTTTTTTCTGAATGCTGCTCCAATGTCCTGACAATGTTGATTTACCTTTAAGAGTTAAGTAAAGGATATTTATTTTAAAACACCCTCAGAACTGTCTCTGGTGAGCTGTGATTCTGCAGGTGTGAGTCAGGAGCGCTGTGTACTGAGCTTCATTATCAGTTTGCCTCTGACTGTGGCAGATGTAGCGATCCTGTGTTTCATGAAGTAATTGTTTGCAACATTCAGAGCAACATTCAGGACTGCTGAGTAACTGCAGCTTATACAAATACGAACAGGAGAACATTAGAAAATGCAGCTATCTGCACTTACTGATAATTTTAGAAAATTCAAGGCAAAACAACTTCTGTATTTCCATTTGTTTTATACCATAAAACAAACCTGTGAACAGTCATCACTGAAAGTTGTTTCTCTTTACGACTTTACCACTTTTTTTTTTTTTTTTTTTTTTGCATTCATCTCTTTTTGTGTGTCCTGCCTGTAACTGGCATGGATCATTTAGATTACTTCTTTAGTAATCTAAATTAGTGATCCTGTGTTACTGAGAGCAACTAATGTTAGTAGAATGGAATTCAGTAAGCCTTGCTAGAAATGTCAAGTTTTAGCCAGGAGCATTAAGCAGTGGTGTTTTCCAGTTTAGTCTCTTGAGACTAAAATTAGTGAGGTAGCCTGGATCAGACTAAGCCTTGTTTCAGTAGTAGCTGCTTTTCAGCCAAGAAAATTGCCTTTGGAAGGCATATACCCTAGTTATGCCAAATTTGGTCTAGGCTCAGAGATGTACAGCCTGGGAAGACAGTTGCAGCTTGCAATGTTTCAGAGTAAAGAAGAATTGTAATTAAGGAAGAAACTTGTTTCAGACTCAGAAGGTTTAACTGAGAGCATTTGGCCCAGTAGAAGCTCTGCCCTGAGGGAACGAGGAAAGGACTGAAATGAGTATTTCATATGGATACTAACATGGTTTTCAGATACTACACAGTTTGCTGCAGTGCATGTTATTTCAGTTCCACTGGGATCAAAGTAAGTGTGCTTCTTGGTATTCTTTCCTTTTTAGGTGTTTATTTTTTCCCTCCTCTCCTATCCAGGAGCACTGTCTCTAGTGTACAACTCTTGACCCTAGACCACTCCTTTAAAGACTTTACAGAAACACAAACATCTGGCAAACAGCTAGATGTCAGTGTTTGGTATGCAGAAACCACATACCTGGCATAAAAAGGTGCAAGCTTAAGAGAGAGAAAAAACTATTTTAAAAAAACATAATTCCTGTAGGCCCTAGTGCACTGGTCTTCTGTGCACAAGGCCATCTGTTTGCCTCACTAGTACCACATGTATCACAACAGTTTTCAGCTTAAAAAAAAAAAAAACAAAAACAAAAAACCCCACCAAAACGAACAAAAAAAACCCTCTGCAGAGTAAAGAAAACTGGAGTCAAGTACCTCTTAGTTACATTCTTCTCAGCATTCAGCAGCTGAGTGAGCCATACACAAACATACACTCAAAATGAGAAAGTAGAACTTGTATTTCTCTCAGATCACATTCTTGAAAAAAATGCCATTTAACCTCTGGGACAGTCCCAGATCTGATAATACTAGATCAATCTACCATTCTGTCATGCTTCATTGTCGTAGGCACTGGGAGTCTGCAAAGGTGAATGGGATTGTATTCTGTAATATGCCATATGTTTATAGGTGGAACATTAAAATAAAGAGGCTCATTAAGGCTGCTTAGCATACATGGCTTTATCTAGATCCCTGGCATGTCAGTTCATAAAATAAACATGACTACCGTAACCACAAGATTACTTTTTCTGACCAGTCCTAAACTAAGCAACAGACAAGTTTGTAACCTGGTATTCTGAATTAAAGAAAATAAATACAGAAGTTAGAAATTGAAAAAATAAAAAAGCTGATTAAGACTTGGGCACCTAGCTCAGCCCAGCCACCTCATCCCTAACTGAAAACATCCTGCCATTCAGTCTGGATCAGAACAAAGTCACTCAAGGAATGCCATTCAACCATAAGCCATTTCATTTGCTGCATACCACGGTTTGGAACTCATAGAGTCATTGTGACAATTACTGATCAGAAAATATAGAATTCTTGCTTTCCTCCCTTCTCAGCTGTTACCTCTTCATGCACTGCATCCTGAGTAAACACAAAACTGTAGACCATTTTTTCAGAGTTACCACTTCTTCATTAGTATTGAGCGGCCTATCCATATAACCTGACATCTGTCCAGCTGTGCTTTCCACACTCTCAGTTAGAAGGCTAAGTTCATTACATCAGGAACAGCAGTGGTATTTAGGTTTGACTTACTGATCTCTGCTGCTATTACTGTAATGTTGTGCCATAGCAATGTTTCCCGGTCAAGAGTTTTTGAAGTAAATATTGAACCATTTCCTGAGTTGATGTTGAATACTCTGTCCATATCAGTGTGTCGATCTACAGAATACCTGCAAATGCAGAGAGAGGAGTTAGAAGATTGTTTTCCATTTATTTTCTATGTACTTAAACCATTTTCTAAGACTAGACGTCAAACACCCATTAAATGGGGTTGCCTTTTGTTTTCAGTGCAGGCTTCGGTGTCTTTATATATTCACACAAAGAGCTTTTTCTGAGCTTCTGGATAATGACACACTGGAGGTTTGATTTAGAAGGTGGGGCATTGTCATTGAATGAATGGATTACTGTGGAATTTACATACCTCTGAGAATCATCAAAGCTTTGTTTTTAGTGAGAAATGTGAAGTCTGTGTCCTGAAAGATATGAAATTATTTTGAGGCTGAGTTGGCTTTCCCATTATCAAATCCTTTTTTAATGGCTTTATATCCTAACTGTTCCAAATAATTTTTGGTAGCAAATTTGAAGGCCAGGAGGCATTTCTGCCTTTCACTTTCCAGGGTTAAAAAGGATTGCCCCCAAAATAACAGGTTGGTGTGGGAAAGAGATTCATTATTCCACAATGTATATCACATAAAGGTTTCCTGTAATTCATTAAAACTAACATGCACAGCCCTACTTCTTGGTATCCAAATGTGAAAACAAATGCTAACAAGCGCATAGTCTAAATACCAGAACAATTTTTCAATCTGATCTTACTCTTTCTTTTCCTGCTGATCTGAATACAACTTTAAAAGCAAAACTCTCCAGTGACAGTGTTCAGTTGTCCTAATCCAAATGTTTTATCTCTCATGCAGAAAAAAAAAAAATTCTAAATGATGAAGATTTTGACAGAAATGTGTTTCTGATGTTTTTAAAACAAGAATGCAATTGTATTATTCTGCTCTTGTTGCAGGTTGAGTGTGTACTGGGGTACAATCCAGAACAGAAACTTATGAAGCCCAGTGTCCTTTCTTGGTCTCCGTATCAGTGGAGGCAAGGAAGCTACTGCTATGTGTAGGCAAAGATAAAACTGAGATACAGCTGAGCTAGCATGCAATCAGGTGAAAACTGGGCCAGGAGAATGACTGGCTGAGTTCATTTTCAAGAATTGAAGGGAATGCAGAGGATGAAGAAAAAAATTCACTCTCTTCTCCGCTGTAGGCACAGCTCTGTGAGATGTCCTCTATTCTGCGCAGATTTCCCAGGGCCTGTGCAGTTTCTTAACTTCTGAGAATGATCTTGCACACAGATAGGAATAAATGGAAGAGCCTAGCTCAAAAATGATTTTAAGAAAGGTTTAAGTTGAAAGCACTAACCTACTAATTATTTTGTAACTTCATGGTTTCTCTTTTCAACTGAAAAAAAAAAAATGGGATATGATATCCACAGCAAGTTAAACTAGTCTTATTTTAAATGAGAATTTAGTGGAAAGTACCTTCCTAAAATTGTAGTAAGCATTAATTATTTTGAATAATTACTTTTCGTTTTACACATTCAATTTCTATGGAAACAACCAAATTACATTCAAAGATACTCAGAGAGCAAGCTAATTTGGTAGTATTTGCATAGGCATACCCTCCTAGTTTTTCAAGATCTGATTTAGTCCTTGTTCTTCACTGTCAGTTGACTAAGAATACAAAAATTTTATCTGTGTGAAGACAACTTTGGTGTCACTAGCCTAGTTCCTCAGTGCACCATTATAGCATTACTGACAGCTTGAACAAAGTATGCACGAAGGTATGGAACAGGCAGCACTGAGTGACAGGACAGCTTCAGCAAACCATGTAGTTTTGTCCAAATGTAAATATTACACATGAATTTGTTGACTTAGCTGAAATGTTTGATGGAAACAAGTTTATACCAAGCAGTCTGACTCTCGTATATTTTGACAAAGTAAGTATTTGATATGGTAAACATTTCATTTTAACTTTCATTCATTCAGGCTTTTATACGATATTATGTTGGTATTTTGTGAATTCAGTCATTTTTCAGACATTCTGCAGCTCATTTCCATATCTTTCAGCTGAAATACTTCAGTATTTCCATTTCACAGTACATCTAGATTTTTCATTCTTGTTTGAAATGAAAATACCAGGATTTTCCATAGATTAGCTATTCTGGCCAGCTCTAATAGTATGTTTCAGTCTCTTATTCAGCAAGATATTTAAGAAAGTATCTAGCTGTAGGCATGAGTTGTCTGTTGTTCTTTTTTTCTTCAGTTATGCCTTCACACGTGCTTCATATTATGAATGGACTTAACATATCTTACAGCCTTAGCATATTTTAATGCCTTGACATATTGTAATCGCTATCATTACTTTCTAAGATTGCCCAGATTCAATCGCATCTGTGATACAGTATCTGAGTGAAATGAAAGAAAATGTTCTGCAGCTTTATACATTGAAGACTTCTTCTCAAAACATTAAGAATTTAAAAATGTAAATCCTAGTAAAACCAAATGTATGTTCAGTTGTTTGTGCAGAGGAAAGTTGAACTGAGAAAAAAGAAAAAAAAATAACCAGAGAACAGCTTCTTAATGAAATGTTAATTTTATTTCTTCATATTCAAGGGAAAATACAAACAAGGTCAATGCAGTTAAAGCATATTCTAATTATATCATTAACCCTCGACTAGAAAGATGATTTTAATAAGCCAGAGTGTCACTTCTGTTTCTCAGTTTGTATAATCCAGTCTCTTTTGGTCAAGGACTGTTAATTATTCGGAACTGGTGGTGATTCTGACTTATGGATCATAATACAGTAAGAATTAAGCAGACAACATCCAACTCTGTTTTACACTTATTTAATAAAATTACTGGTGCGTATTTGTCAGATTTCAGGACCTCATCACTTTCAAACCTCGAGGAATTGACAAGCTAGACAGTTAAAAGGTATCTATATATATTCCATTCTCTCCTTGTACATAACAGGAAGAAGGGGCAAGTGAAAGAGAGAATCTAACACATGCAAATATGTTGTCATTAAAATACACAAACAAAATTAAGCCTTACATTTGTTTGCGGATCATTTTAATCTAGGAAACTTTTGTAAATCAAATCACAGCAGGGAGACAGCTCCAGTGACTGATGAACTTCATTATGACTCTAAGGAGATATTATAGCAAAAAAAACCTCAACTAGCAATTTACAGAGATCTGATGTACAATACAGCAATGCCAATTGCAGCTTTTTATTTTTTTTTTTCCTTCAGTATGCAGAGGTTCATAACATCATTTCTGTTTAGATCAAGGAGAAGCAGAATGCAAAACTTTTTTCATAGCACAGCTGGACAGCGGAATATTAATCAGGAGTGTATGAACATTGCTATGCATGGATGGTTATTTAAACATATAGCCAAACATTTATTGGTGTATTTTTATAATTCCTTAATGTTACATAGCAGAAAAGCTAATTTATAAGAGCTGGACTGATGATCTACTGATACATAGGTCACAGACAACGATGCACTCTTCAACCAGGGCAGATATCCACCTCATATTTGTCTATTGCTTCATTGTCTCCTGACGCCCAGCAGCTTGCTGTCTAATGCAACCACAAGTCAGGAAGATTTGTGGGTCAGGAAGGGATGTGCGTGTGAATTTTTCATAATGCATTTTCATAATGATATTGTGAAGGTTTCCTTTAATGGAAGATCAAAGGGGCTTTCATTTAACAGAGTTAGGACTCGGTTTGTTTAAAAAGAGAAATCTTCACTCAAGTAGAGGAGAAAATGAAGGGTTTTCATTGTAATATCAATTATCTAAAGATTTTATTTTTAACTGTCAAGGAAAATTGACAAGCAAGTGACAAGCCATATATATACAGTCTAATTGCATCTTCCCAGAGCGAAAATCAGATTTAACACCTCCATTGCATGATGGAAAAAAATCACCCTGTCAAAAAAATGCAGACTCAACCTCTGACCCTAAATTCTAGGAGATATCCAATGCGTTAGCACCATAAAATTATGAGGGCTGCTCCAAAAGTAATGCCACCTATTTTATTATGTTGTCCCACTGTATCAGAGGTATGGCAGTAAAGGCTGAACCTTCCCATCGAGATTCTTTTACATTTTGTTGCCACGTGACAGATGGCAGCAGAGGGGCTATCTGATATGGAAGTGCATATGAAACAAAGGTGTGTTATTGAATTCCTCCATGAGGAAAAGATTGCAGTCATTGACATTCATCAATACTTGCTAAATATTTATGGAGACTGAACTGTAAGCAGAGTAAGGCAGTGGGTGGTGTGTTTTGGCAATGGAGACAACAACAGCAATGAGTCATCTTCACTGGTGCAGATTTTTATGAATACAGAATGCAGGCTTTTGTTCATTGCTGGTGAAAATGCATAGCTGATAGTGGTGACTGTGTTGAAAAACAGTGTTTTGTAGCTAAGAATGTGCTCTCTTAAATAGCATTATTATGCTCTTTATATCTGCTCTAGTTTCCATGGAAATAAATAAGAAGCATTACTTTTGGAACAACCTATGTGCATTTATTGTCTCACAGGCTGCTTCTCTCTGCTGAGTTCCTTTCCCTCTTACTGGTTTTCCTATTTATTGTTTCTATGTTTGCTTCTGTTACTCTAACTTCTTCCTCATTTTTATTTTTCTTCTCTTTTCTTTCTTATTGTTTCATATTACTAGTGTGTAAAGAAGACAGATTTTCTGCTGTTCTGCATCAATTTTGACATTTCGACTCAAATTTGTTCAGTAATTATATTTTAATATGTAGAGTACCTGTACAGTGCTTAATAACTGCCCTTTGAATGATAGATAAATTTTATCACACACATTCAATTAATAGAAAAGAGCCAATAGGCGACACTCAGTGTACAGTATAATCCCTATCCACTGTAAAATGCTTAACAATTAAGAGGTGGTGCTGGTGTGAAATTCAAGTGGTTATAGTTATCACAACAGGGGAGCAGAGGGAATCAGAGAAGCATTCCCCTCATTCTCTAGTGCCATTAGATATGAAAAAGTATGTTTATATGAGGACTGGAAGGGTTCTGCCTGGGTTTCACCTCAAGCAATTTTTCATCATCATGCTAGCATACCCATGAAGACACGCTATAGATGGTATTTATTCTTTCCCTGAAACTCACCACAGTCAGCAAAACCCTATGTTGCCCTTCAAGTCACTATACTCTCTCTTCTAATCCAGAACTTCCTACAATTGTTGCATGCCAATGACATAAATGAAAGCAAACCTTAATTAAAATTTAAAGGCTTAGTCTTAAACAAGAATTCACGTGCAGGGCAAGGCGTTCAAACAGAGAGTGTTTCTGCCAGATATCTTCTTCTAGGAAATTAAGATAGCAGTATTTACCCATCTCACAAGATGAGCTGAGAGCTTAAAACTTACACATGCTTCATAAGCACTGCAAGACATCTTGATGAAAGATAGCTGTTTGCAGATGTACAAAGTATTGACAGATTGGATTTTTATTAAACCTGTATTGTTCTATCTTTGATCTAAACACACTATTGCATTTCCTAACATGCCTAAACCAGAGACATGCTAAAAATTGACCTGGATTTAATATTGCTGTTTTTTTTTCATTTCCTCCTCTTCCTGCCTTGTCAGCAGCAATGAACTCTAATTAAAACACACAGAATATGAAAGAATTTCTAAATATCCATCTAATAGAATTTAAGTACTTCACTACTCCAGTTTTCAGACGTACTCAGACCTTTTAATTTACAAAAAATAAAAATAAAAATGAAGGCTTAGGTTTTGCTACACCAACCTTAGCATTTACTCCATTTCCTCTAAGACTAATTTACTGAGTCATAGCAACTGTAATTTATGAAGTCCATGAGCCTGATTTGTATCATACTAACCTTACGCTGATATAAGTGAGAACAGGGTCTGTGTGTGAAACAAGTGCTTTTAAGGCATTTATGTTAGTGGTGTGTAGAAGATAAATGTGACCTCTGATAAACAGACATGAATGGATGGGAGAAGCTGCTGAATCACTTCCCTGTCATATAGCCAAAAGGATGCACCACAGCGCACTGGAAAATGTTGGAGGTGGAAGGAGAGCACTAGCATCATCATAGTGTTCCTTCCCAGTAAACTCTTCCATAGTAGAAATAACCACAAACATTATTTGCTGAAGAGGCTAGGATATAATTCGAGATGCAAGTGCCATGCAAACACAATCACACATGCACAGATATGCTCAAGTAAGAGAGATCATTTGCCAGCTATGCTACTCCATATATAAGCATACCCGAACAGTTTCATTCTCAAAACGGATTTCTCTGTTCTCTTCTTCTCACATGAAAAAAAAAGAGCAAAATCAAAGCAGTAAAAGAATTTCAGAGTGAGCTGAAAGTCTGTGCTTACTTGACAGTGTTCTTGGCAGCATCTGGATCCTGTGCTGTTACTGTTCCTATTACACTGTTTATTGGAACATCTTCTTTCACTTCAATTATATATGCTGGTCTGCTGAACACAGGGGGTTCATCTACATCTTCCACTTGAATTCTGATTGTGGCTGAATCCTTGAATGGCCCCAAGTAGAGGAATCGAGGGTCCACGTGAGTATTGGTGGCTTCCACCTTCAGAATATACAAGTTTTTATTTTCAAAATCCAGTGCCTGGGAAGAGAAACAAACAAACAAAAAAACTTGAGAAGTCTGTGGGGATAGCTGTGCCGAGCAGACAAGGGTATCTAAATAAACTGGGTGATGGAAGCCTGTGCTTGCTTACAAGAGCCTGAACTGGAATTAACATGCCAGAAGAGAGAAGAAAGTTGGGGCTCTTTGTGCTGATGGTAAGTTATAGAAAAACAAAACAAAACAAAAACAAAAAAAACTTTGGCAGGGAATTCTGTGTCAAGAACTTCCAAATTCATATTAACTGTACCTTCTTAAATAGCCTCAACTCTTCACGCTTTTTATCCTGTTGGTTTTGAAATTTTGTTGCTTTCTGGACTCTTGACCTTAAGCACCATACACTAAAGGGGGATTCTCTAGGAGCTCCTTTCTAACATGTTGACGTTTCATCACTGAAATGAATCACTGTGTTATTTGGTGTCAGAAGACATTCAGGGCCACCCACATAATTTTATGATAGGCTATGACCGTATCACACTGATAAAATATGAAGAAGAAGAATTTAGGAACCATTTCTTACATTCCTTAGAGTAATGTGGGGAGAGACTAGTTATCACACTTTTCTGTTAGGCTGTAGAAGATTCACAGCTTCAATCACCAAGAGACAGAAATGCAAACAGAGCTAGACTGATATCATAATCAGCCCCTTAAAGGCATCTCTTAAAAAACAAGTAATGACAGGTGTTGTACTGATATCAAATGCAAGTTATGTTTATAAAATCTACACCATGTCTATTTAGCAATGACTGAACTTGAACTGATGGAGGATGATATCTGTAACCTTATCAAGCTTGCCTGATAGCCCACTGTAAACAATATTTCTCAAACCTTTTCTGACAGCCAACATGCAGCATAGTAGATGGTGTCCACTGTGATCCAAGACAGCACTGTTTTTTGTTTTGTTTTCTTTTCTTTTCTTTTCTTTTCTGAAGGAAAAGCATGCTAATGGGTTTATTAATTGTATCTTTATAGCATGAGACAAATAAATTTGTTTTTGTACTTTGATATGTTATAGCTATACAATTCAGTATCTTTTGATGGTGCAAAGCAGGCTGTGTGACACTGAATATTACTGTGGTTTTAATACAGCACATTTCTAAGAAGTGAACAAATCCTGTATGCATGATAGAAACAATGTCACAGTTGGGTGACTCCTTGAGTTGTCCTGTAGACACGTTCAGACAGAATTTTCTCAGTTCTATCCCACTTCATAGATTATGTACTCTCAAATTATGTGTGTTATTTTTGTAAAGGAGAAATCCTAAATGTATAAAAGAAAATTTATATAGGTAATATTGCAGAGATAGATAGCAATTTAATAAACTACATGTTGCACTAAAAATGGAAAGCAATGGAAAATGTGGTAGATACATTTTTTCCTGGTATTTTTGAGGTTGGTATGAAGTGTGTTAGGATGTGTACCTTTTTGACAGTTATGATTCCTTCCTGTGTGTCCTTGTCTGTGGTAATTCCAAACATGTCATATCCATCACCCTCAGTGATGCTGTATTCAATCTCTGCGTTTTCATCCACATCTGCATCGTTAGCTTTAATCCTGCCAATTGGTGAGTCAGGTGGCGTGGACTCAGGAGCTCTGAATTGGTAGGTGCCTACAGTAGATGGAGGAGGAAACTTTTGTCAGTCAGACTCATGGTATTTTGGACGCTATTTCTGAACACACTGTCCTGTTGGGAATGAACAGATGAGTTGCTGAGTGGCTTTGTCTTTGTACTTTCCTGGTGCAAAAGCATTCAGCCTCTGCCTAACTTTCATAGGGATAAAAGTAACTTATTTTCTACCTTTTTTTTTCTAGTATGAAGGGATTTTTTTTCCTACGTATATGCAACTTTAGCAACATATGTCCTTTCCTAGATACTATCAGTCTGTGTTAACAGTAACAAAACACTATATGAAAAATGTTTTGAGGTCAAAAGACAAATAAAATATTAAGACCTGCCAGAGGCCAATGCAGTTTAGTATCACTAAAAGCCCACTAAAAGCAAATCTGGCTCAAATGCCTATTACTAATATGCTGCACTGAATTTGTCCCCTGAGAAAAAACTGCTTGGGGAATGTTGGCATTATGAGGCTATATCTTTGGCTTTTATACTGAAGACACTCATGTCCAGAGATGTATAATTAACTCATTGGAGGCAGAGTGCTATATTTCCTCTTAACTTGTTTAAATTTAAATGGAAACATTTTGCCCACAGCTAAGAAGAGACTTTGAACATAAATGACAAGTTGCTTCCAATAACATTCCCAGTGACTTAACTGCCAAAGCTTGGTGATTTGTCTGATAGTATCTGCAATTATTTTCTTGAACAGCTGCTTTTGACTTTGACACACACTGACACTCTGATACACACATATACACACAGAGCAGTGTAAGATGAAGCAAAGATGAAGGAGGGAAAAAGAGAGAGGAAGAAAAGTGAATGAACACTGAATCACATTGAATCACTTATGGCAATGAACAATCATTAATAAAAATGGCTTTCTAAAAGATCTGACTCAACTGTTTCCCTTAAATATTACACAGCTGTCTAAATGATCTGAGGCAAGAGGAGGACAATAGGCAGAAATATCTGGTATATTTATATATGTGCCTTTGTTTCTGCTTGCAATGAATATAGGAGAACCCACTGAGGAAAGTGTTTCCTAGGTAAAAACACTCATTTTGATAGAGTTACTCTGGGGATCATTTTACATTCTTAATTAAATACTTCAAAAGTTAAATATGTTGGACTAGAACAGACTCCTTAAAATGCAGTTGACCACAAGGTCTTTTATAAAAACAATATTGATCAGAAAATATAGATTGTATCAGTCAAAGCTTATAGTTTAATAGATAAGTTTATAGGTAGCAAAAAATAGAAGTTGTTTCTGTTTGTTAATTCACTTCTTGGACTATTTATTGCAGATGTAGTAAAAATATTAAAGGTAAGCTTCCTAATGATTGTAATTAACCTTAGCAAGATCCTACTTCTTGCTTGTGTATTCCCTTTTTCTTTCTCAAGTGAAGTCGTACTCTCTAAATTCATGACAGCAGAAACTTGACTTAAAAAAAAATACAAAAATACTAAATTCTTGTTTATTTTACTGTAAAAACTTAGAATATAAATATTCCATACTCTGGGGGAACCGAGGAGGATTGTCATTTACGTCGGTCAGCGTGATGTTCACAGTGGTGGTTCCTGATAATCCGCCCATCTGGCCTCCCATGTCCTTAGCCTGGATGACCACTTGATATTGCTCCCTGTTTTCACGATCCATGTTTAGCAAAGCAGTTTTAATAATACCTAAAATGTGAAAATTAAAAAGGAAACTTCACAAGTAATGTATTGACATCGATGAAACCTGTTATTAAAAAAAAACCCACATCCTAAGGAACAAAGCAATCTCTGTTGTAACGAGTAAACTTTGCCCAATACAAATATTCACTGTTATGAGATGGCACATTAAATTACAGACCTCTCATATCACCTCTCATGCTGCTGTCTATGTGACAGACACAACAGTAATGACATTCCCAGAAAGATGTTCTACCTATCTGTGAGCAGTGTTATTTTACATAACATCTACACCCTTTCAGTTCCATGCTAAAGTCTCTCACTGAACTGGAAGAAGGCTCATTGTTTGTTATAATGCGCTCCATGTTTTCTCTCCTGTTCTGTCAGTATTTTCATTTTGACAGAAAAAAAAAAAAAAGAAAGAAAGAAAGGAAATAAGGGAAAAAGCTAACTTCAGCAATACATCATTAAAGAGGCAATACGACAACATTAAAATGGGAGAAGTTAATTAAAAAGGCTGTAAGCCCAAGTATATATATTTCTATTTATACATTAATTTAAATGATTTTGCCAGTCTGTTCCTTCTTCAAAGGTACAAAGTCATTTTTAAGCCCAACTCCTATTGAAATTCAGTCATTTAGATTTACCACGAAGCAAAATGCTTGTGTTCTGGCTGGGTATCTTAAGGCTAAGAACTGACTCCTTTGTAGACAAAAGGGATGAAATCCAAGCACTGAAATCCATGGGAAAATTCATAACAGCTTCAAGAATGACTTATTTGACTCTAGGAGTTTTGCAATTGATTTCCATGTGAGCACGACCAAGTCTGTGGTTTACCTTGCTTCCCTTCCATTCCTCATACAACCTTCTTGCTAAAAGGTTATTACTGCTAAACTCCTGGGTGCATTATCCGTGTTATAACTCTAAGAACAGATATTATACTTTCCAAGTGAGAATGCATGCATCAGTGCAGAAATCCTCTTTCTTGTACTATCTAATACCTCATGCTCCCTTTGATATTGGCTTCCCTTTTTTTCATATGTATTTTTTTTCATCTCATGTTTTTCTCTGACATCTCATCTTTACCTTGCCCAAGTCTCTAAGATTTAGATAAGAAACAATTTTAAAACCTGATTAATTGTCTGGAATGCCATTCTTTTCCTGTAAGGATGTTGAGGACAACCATTATCTCTAGCTTCAAGCAAACTATCAGAATGGATATTCCTATTTAAGGAGCCTCTTGAAATCTTTTATTACTTGTAGAAATTTGACATAAGTCCTGAGATTATCTGTGTAGTGGGATAGTGTAGTAGTACAGCAGATTTGATCAGTCAGAATTCATGTTTTACACACACAGGCTGCAAAGCAGTCTGTTATTCAGCCCATAAAAAATTCTAGTCACTGTGTATAATTTAAATATATTCCAAAAACAGAACTCAGAAGTTTGCAATTCGTGATCTGCTAGTGTAGCTCAACAGCCAATTTTACCTCTTCTATCATTATTCTTAATTAAGATTTCTTTCATAAAATTAGCATTAAAGTGATATGTTGCAGATGTACAGAAATTATAATTACTTTAAACAAGTTTTGAAGAAGCAGGAGGAAAATAAAAAAAAAAAAAAACAAAAAAAAAAAAACAAGCAAACCCTCAGTCTTAATTTAGCCATTATGAAGAGATATGAGGATTAAGCACTTTTTTTGCACACCCACCTGTTTTCTCATTTTCTTCTAAAAGCCAACCTATTTGGTTTAATTTAAGCATCTACAGCAGTCTCTGTACCACTGCTTGTTAAAAATGATTGAAAACTGTTTCACATTCAGTACTAATCGTATTTATTAGATTTTGCTTTTAGATTAAAATATTGTAGGTGTCATGTTTACAGATGTATTGCTCAATTAAGTTTGTCAGATTTTGCACTGAATAAGATAAAATCTCTTTGAAGTTTTTGACTAATATGTCCTAGCTTGGCTTAGCACGTCATTTTAAATTGCAGACATTGTCACAGAATGACAGACAAGGTCTTCTGACCTGTCTCGGATTCTACGGAGAAATATGGTTGTCCCTGGAGAATGCTGTAGACAACTTTAGCGCTGTTCCCATATGTAGGATCATCGGCATCAGTTGCAGTGACTTGTACAACAAAGGTACCTGCAATGATAAAAGAAAGTTAAAATCTTTTTTTTTCTTTCTTTTTTCTTTTTTTTCTTTCTCATGGCTGAGACAGTTTGTGATAAAGAAAAGCATAGCTGAGGTTCAAGTCAAACGTGGCAAAAAGTAGAAATGTCCTTATTTAGTAGGAGTTATTCTGCTCTCCAGTTTCCAAACTAAAATAATAGCTGGATTTTTCTCAGTTCATAAAACTGCAGTTATCAATTGGATACATAAATCCTTTATCATAAGTTTTAGGAACAAATCAGAAACCCAGCTTTCATTAGATATGGAAGATGTTTAGAGTTTGAATCTGGCTCAAGAGCATACTTTCACAAATTTACTCATGCTTGTAACAGGTTAAATTAAAATTTACAGTTGGAACAATATTAGACTTTAAGGTGTTCAACATCAGAATGTAAATCTGGTTTTTTTACATATCTTTTAGAGAAATAAATGTTTTTGAATCCTGGTCAAAGTGTTAACAAATGTGATAAATGAGCTTAAGTTTTAAGATTTTAAGCAGATTTGTGAATAAAGCATTCACTTCACATACTAAAATGTGAATATTAGTTTCTGTCTTCACCAGGTGAGGTTACATCTGTGTGACAAGTCCCATGAATGAGAAAATATGCCCTAAAGTCTTTATTTTCATATTGCTTGAGCTTTATTTTAATCTCATTCTTGATTGTGATTAATTAATATTTCTGTCTCTGGGTATTTTTTCAGATTAGAACTGTGCTTCTTGCCATTCAATCATCCATTTTTCTCTGACAAAAAATCAAAGTAACCTTCCTAAGAATCTGAGAGAAAAATTCAAATCCTGTGAACTTCCCTGAAAGAGATCTAACCGTAAGTCGTATTTCAAGGAATTATCTCTCCCTCTTTTTTATTTTAATTCATTCTGATGGCTTGATATCTTTGAACAAACAAATGGAAAGATTTAAATGGACATCAGTTGACTTTGTAGCTCATTTTCTTTCCTAATAAAAGCAACAAAATTAATAGGAAAGTAATGACATATCTTAGAATTAATGATGAGTTGACTTGGCTCACAGTTTTCTTTCCTGAAGTGTGTACGGTCACTTCTGCATCTCTCTTTTTGCACTTCTTTTTTATATTCATGAACTAAACAACATTAGCTGAATAGTTCTAGGGATGGTGTTGACCCATGTAGGTGATCATATCTTAACTACTATTACACTGCAACTAAATCATGTTATCAGTGTATGCTAAACTCTTTGAAGGTGTCCTGTAACAGAGGTCAGCTCAGCTTACTTGCACTGTGAACTAAACAAGAATGCATTAACTTACTTTTCCTGTGGCACAACAGAAGAAGCGTATTTTACTCATCTGATACTTTTGTTTTCAGCAAACTATTGTCACTAATTCCACTGGACACAGATTTTTTTTATTGGCTCAATTACTTCTACTCATCGCAAACAGCAGATCTCTGCATTCATTACCTTTCAGTTTGGGGCCCTTAATAAAATCTACAGAAAGAATTCAGATCATATACAGAAATTAACTGTTAGCACCTACCAACATCTGACATTTCTGGAATGCTGGCATTGTAAACATCCTTTGTAAACATTGGCTCATTGTCATTGATATCATGGATCTTGATGATGAACTCAGATTCTGGTTCCACTGGTCTTCCAGTTCTTCGATTTATAGCCTGGGCACGAAGTATGTATACAGGCTTCTCTTCTCTGTCCAGTCTCTTTGTGGCTTGGATGTCACCAGTGTTTTCATTGATAATGAAAAGGTCTCCTGCTCCATCTCCAGAAAGGATATACTTAAGTGATCCATCTCCTTTATCCTGGTCTGAATGCAGCTGGTGGTGAAATGAGAATAATCAAGAAGGGGGGAAAATAAATAATTGAGACACAATTCTACATATTTCATCTCATTATCATGATGCAGGTTTGTTAATACCTAGCCAAAAGGCTGTACACTTCTTTCAGGAAATAAGATGATACCTCAGTAGGAGGACTGAATGGATGGAGTGGTGTCTTGATGTTGGATTTGAAGTTGTTTTCAGTATTATAAAAAAAATCTCTGGGGAAACCTAGGAACTGGAGTTGCAGATGACTTTCCAAAGCTGAGCATATATCGATCAAATCTAAATAATAGGGGCTTAAGTGTTATTCTGTGAATATATAGGATAGTAATCTCCAACAGCTGGAAAATCTGCAGAATCACGAATTGTAGTCAAAGAAAGAAAAAGTAGCCAGGGCAGTCACTTCTTGAGTTCAAATTCTGTGTGCTGTGCTTTTATGACTCTGGACTACATACAAATAAGAGTGAAAATACACAAATTCACAAATGCAGCAAACAAGAAGCAGAGGCAGCACATGTACAAGGCCATTCCAGCACTGGCAGTGAAGATACCAGTCACCTTATCCAAAGGGACATTGACCAAACTAAAACAAGGTGAGTGCAAGGGAAAGTAGAGAATAATGGTAGTTAACATACAGCACCTGAGCTTTCCCAGGAGATTTCCCTTGCTACTGAAAGTCTGCTTAATGCACATACAAGGTACAACAGATTAAATACTACTCTGAAGGTTGTTCCTTTGGTAAAGGTATATTTATTCCTTTGGCCTTAAAATAAATGTTAATCAAGTGTATTTTATTTTCTTGTTACATGAAATAAAAAAATATATTAAAGTGACTTCTAAGTTTGGGGAATCAGTGATAAAATTCATAGGAGAAAAGCAGCAGATTCCTTCAAATTGTTGTTTTCATAGCAAAGATGTTTATGAGTAAGAAGAGTTGAATTTTCTCAATGAACTCTTTGCTTCTCTTTCTGCATGCAAATATGAAATATATATATATATGTAGTTGAATGTGTGGTGAAGTACTTAGCATTGCTGGATAGAATTCTTTGTAGAAGAGAAAGGTGTGTACGCTGAAAGAATATAGAGTATTATGATCTTTACAGGTTTTACCACTGCTTGGCTATTCCCCAGGCACACTGGAAGGGCAGCCTCCAGCGTGACTGTATAGCCAATGTTTTGGGTTTCCTCCAACCTTCTACCCAGACCAGTGCAATGCTGGAAGCCTATTGACAGCCACCTGGTGGCATGGTGCTCCCTCATGGGTACTTATGCCTGTGGTTCCTACAGAAAGCATGATCAATGCAACAAGTCCATTTTATAAGGGTAAAACTCTTTGTTTTTATACAAAAATTTTTTATATAACGTTTTTTCACAAAGGTTTTTATATAAATGTTTTTATACAAAACATAATTTAAAAAAAAAGTGTTAAATAGAACAAAATCCATGAACTGTAGAACAGCAAATCATTACCAGACGTGCCGAGGCACATCTCCTTCAGGGAGAAAATGGGCATTCAGTGTAATTTTGCACGGAGCCTTCCTCTTGAAAATAAGAATATTGATAGCTAGCTTGTATGCAACATTTCATCAGGAGATTTCAAAACACTTCACAAAAGCAGTCAATCACATTTGCTTTGTTTTTTTGAATAGCAAAGTGTAGAAACTTGGAATTTCCAAAAAGACTGTCTTGGAACTCGGAATACAGTTCAGATCTCCTGAGTCCTAGTCAATTGGCCATCAAACCTACAGAAATGATATGATTTACCAGATACATCTTAAGCCTCTGAAGAATATCTGTTAGATCTGCCTGTTAAGAAGTCAGTCTGTAAGTCTACTGTGGAAAGTAATTGTAATTGGATATTTGAGTATAATTTTCTCAAAGGCAATTTGCAAAAAAAAGGCATAAAAATAACTCTTATTTAAAAATATTTAAAAAAACTGTCTCACATCCAGATACTCAATTTTTGTTTGCCTTGAAAGCCGTTTTAATTTTTTCTGTATCATAGTGGGAGAAAAGCAGCCCTTGGTAACAGGCTATCATTAATTCACACAAATCATGGAATAGTGCTGTTGTGAGACTTGTTATAGGATGAACTCCCAAACTCATTTTTATCACCATTTTAATTAAAACCGTTTCAAGGAACAAAGTAGCAAAAAAGGTCAAGCTAGAAGGGGTGTTGGAACCATTGGGAATTGTCTTCCCTAGTATTCTTTAAGGAGTCCAGATACCTGCAGAGCTAAAAATGAAAACTTGTGTAATTTTTCAGTCAATTGTTTATGAAATTTCCACTCTTCTCCCATAACTAACCTATCAGTGTAAGATGAACTATGGCTCTTGAATATCAAGACAATGCATATCTCAACGTACCTACTCACTAAGGTTAAGAATGAAGCGATTTTCATGGAAGGTTCAATCTCTAGCTTTTCTGCAAAAGCAGTAACTTCTGAAAATAAACATTTCCTATCACAATGTTCTTTCCAAATCTAATATTCTAATACCTTCAACTTTCCTACTTTCCTAAGACATTACAGAATGGAGTAAGTGCTCACCTGGCCAGAAAGTAAGTGGCTTATCTGCTTAAGAGTCAGATCTAGGGAAGGTCATGTCCCATGTATGTTATGTAGAGTTAAGGCTGTCTGAGCATCTACTCATCAGTCCCAACAGTGACCTTCTAGTGTGTCATCATGTGTGGCCTGAAGAACATATTTCATAAAAATTCTTCATAAAGGTATGATTATAATACTTAAGTAAATTATGATAGTTATTTAACCGCTGAACATCAGGGTTGTTTTGTTTTGTTTTCTGTTTTGTTATGTGTTTGTTTTTGTGGAATAGGACAAAATCACAACACCAGCATGAACTGCTTAATAGCTAGGCCAAAGTAGTTTGAATTTTGTTCCTTTCTTTTTCAGAAAACAAAATGTTGTTTTTATATGTTAGAATAAACAAACAGATCTCCAGGAAAGTTTCTCATGGATGACAAATTTGCAACATTTACCTCAGAGGAAAATATCTAGAAAAACAATTTATTATTACAGATTATCTGTGCTTGATTGTTTGCTTGTATAAAATTTTACTCAGGCAAAACCATTCAGCTTTATTTTTTTAAGTGTCAATTTATCTTGAAAGCAATATTTTGCTTGTGTGAGCTATATGAAGTGAGAGATTGCTACTCCAACCATGTTAAAAAAAATAATTAGGAATAAAATTTAAAGGAGGAACAAATGGTGCGAGATTAGACCAAAAGAAGGGCCTGGAGGGGAGATGCACTTAAAAATGCAGCTGATGGTTTTGTATATAAAGTCTAATACAGCTGTTATGAGGATAAAATGAATAGTGGAAACATCCCCCGCTTTCCTTTGCAGTTGATGGTATTTTTGCTACCCAGACCCTTCATTTCACCGGAAGTTTGCTGTAATGAAATATGCATAGAAAGTATATTCCAAGTACTTTCAGCAGGACAGATACGAAACATCATAGTTTCACTCTGTCTATTAACTCATGTTGCAAAAGAGTGTCCATTACCCTCTGCATAAAGTTATTCATGGGCCAGATAAATGGACCATGGCAGGTAATCATGAGATAGAATAAAATATTGTGGGATGCAATATTCATGTCAGCTGGGTTGTACTACATTACTGCTCCTCGATACAAATTTACTATGGCCAAAAGTTTTAAGGCTCTACTTAAAGTTAGATTTTTTTATTTCTAGAGGAACTTGGTGTTACTCAACAGCATTCATCTAATTTGGTGACAGAACTGAGCAATACCCCAAAGGTAAGCAGAATTGAGAAGTAGTAAGTTGCAATAAAAAGCAAATGCTTCTGCAATTGAACTATATTAATATTATAGTAAATTGATTCACTCAGAATGTTCTCTGGACACTTTTGTGAAATCACCTATCAATCACTGGCTAAGGCTGAGGATGAACGACAAATTAAAGATTTTATTATGCCCTAGGCATACTTTCACTCATTTTACTTTAATGCCACTGTTACATGAACCATCTTCTTTGTTTTTAATGATTTACAGTAAGATAAAAACCATCCAGTCTTTTTCTCTCTTCTCTCCTTGGGAATATTCTGAGCGAAGACATTCAAACATGGCTGCCAGAAAGAAAGTAGGGCCTCATTGCTCTGGTAACAAATATACAGCTGTTTAAAAAGACTGCAGGACTACAGCATTAGCTACCTGTATTTGACTTTGTACTCATTGTTACCTACATAATTAATTTAAAAGGAAAACTTCTTATTTATTATAAGGAGTCCCAATCTGAAGCAGCCTTGCTCTCCCCGGTGTCACTGACAGAAGCCCCCAGAAGCATCAAGGGTGGTGACAGAGGTGTTTTCTCAGCATGGAGAGGTATGCGAAAGCTGTGCTCAAAGTATTTGTGCTGTGAACACCTTTTTTTTTTATTATTATTATTTTTTTGGAGTGAGTTTGTTCACAGCATTTGCGTTCATCTCCAACACGCGGTATTGCTCAACTTCAAAGGAGCTCCAGAAAAATTTTACCAGGGTTTCAAAAATTGAATCAGGCCTATGCTACATAAATAGGAATTATTTGAGCAAAGTGTGGGAAAAAAATTAAGGGTGACTTTCATGTAATTTTGTAAAAAGATTATAAATTGAAATGGCATGAAAGCAGCAGATCAAATTGGCATTAAGTAGTGCAATTCATTAATGTTTGTCCTCGGTATTCTATGCTACAAGAGCTGTGCTCTAAAATGTCAGAGCATGCACAACAGAAGCAGCGTCAGTGTGCTTCAATGCTGGCGAGGGCCAGGGGCTCCCCGGGTGGGCCAGGAGGCACCAGGTAGGCAGCGCCTCACCAAGAGTAGGGCACCAGGGGTACCATCTCCCTCAGGGCAAGGCTGTGCTGTAGACCTGCAGGTGGCCTCTCTGGGCAGGGCTGTGAGGAACTGGAGCCCAGCTGTTCAGCAGTCTTGTCGGCCCAATTACAAATCGTGCTAAATTCACCTTGGTATGAAGTTA